GACGCCGCCGGGGGGGGCCGCGCCGCGCCCTCGGCCCGGGACCCGGCTGCGGCGAGGCGTCGACCACGAACCCCGGCCGCCCTCCGCGGCCCCGGCCTCCTCCCACTCCCAGCCCCCGCCCCCAGCCCCTCGGAGTAGGTCCGAGCTCCGTCAAGGTCAGCCAGCCGCCCGCAGGGCTGCTCACCGGTACTCGTAGTGCTCGTCGAAGTACTTGTCCGAGTAGTAGATCTGCTTGTGAGCCATCCTGCCGGCGCGCCGCGGGGCGGGAACGACCAGAGTCAGAGAGCAGGCAAGGCAGGCCACACGTCCGCGTCCGTCCACAGCAACGACTCGACTGAGCCTAACGACCACCGCACGCTCAACGATCCCGATTTGAATCCGACAGCCGGCCGCCGATTGGACAGCAGCGCCAACCAATCACCTGCCACGCAAGTTGCGGAAGGCCGTGCAGGCTCCCAACCTATCGTCACCTCCCCTCTGCGGAGTTGACTTCCCGCATCGGCCAATCAGAAACCTGTTGCGAGGTTGCCCGCGAGAAAAAGTGGAGGATTGGTTAAGCGTGGGGGCGGAGACGTGATGAGAGAACGGCGGAGCCAGGATGTTAAGGACTGTAGACCGCGTGCGCAGGGGTTTAGAATGTTCCAGCGCCGTGGGGCCGTTGGGGCGTTGGGCCTGAGGGTGGGGCAAGACATCGCGAGATTTGTCGAGGCTCGTGAGGTCGGAAGTAGTGCCATAGGGACTTCCTGGTCCTCGTGTTCCTCGGAGGCGCTGTATTTCACCTTACGCTCTATCCCTGCAAAGTAAAAGAAAGGCGGCGAGGAGGGGCGAAGAGCGCGGCCTGTGGCGGCCCGGCACCGACCCTCCGGCTCGCGGCTCTGAGTCCGAGCAGCGGCGTCTGGAGACCGCAGTCCGACCTGTTGTCCGAAACCGGGGCTCCGGGACCAGAGCTTGCGGGAGTAGGTTAATCTGCAACCGCCGGAAACCATGCACATTACCGGACTACGGGATTAAAAGCGCTTTAAAATTTTTTTTTATTTTTTGCTTTAAAATTTTTTTGACCTAGTATTGGCCGTACTTTAAGGACATGTAAACAGTTACTGGAAGGCGGTATGCCACGGTACTACTAGTTACTCTCAGATGACAGGGTGTAAGTGACCTTGTGGGTGTTTTTCACATTCTGCAGTCAGCACGTGTCACCTGCCCTAACTTGGTGTTTTATACTCAGTGTTCCGACGCAGCGTGGGCTGAGAGCATGAATCCTCCCGCCCCCTCCCTGGCCGCCTGGGGCTTCTGTAACCAAGGACCTTCGCTAGGGGACCAAACACCAGATCACAGGCGTGGTGGCTGGAGAGACTGGACCCCCGCATGGCCCAGACTTGGCTTGCTTTCTCGCTTTCCCTCAGTCTCTGGTCAAATTAAAATAATAATAGATATATTTTAAACAGCTCTCCCAGGGCTCTGGAGGCTGGACTTCCAAGATCAAGGTCACAACACCGACTGGTGCTGATGAAGGCACTGCCCACTTCCCTGCTTCCCTGTCCACGGAGAAAGGAGGCAAACTCACGGCCGGTGTAAAGGCATGGCGCCGCCTGTAAGGCCATATACTCCCAGCCATCTGCAGAGGCCCCACCTGATACTGCCCTCACACTCAGTTGGAGGGGAGACAGATCCTTCAGCTTAAGGAGTCTGTCTTCTGAAGGATCTTAATTTCCTCTCTAGAGGTTTCTCCATGATTCTGTGTCCATAGAAACTTGGGGTTTCTTGCCCAGCCCTTACTGCACTTTAATTGTATCTTTACCCAGCTTTCTGGTCCAGCTGTCTGTGCTGGACACACTCTGTGAAGACAGGGAGTAGGAGACACGTGTTCTTTGTTCAGTCTGCCTAGCCCTTGTGAGCACAGCACCTTACACGTGATGAGCATTCAGAACCGTTTTTTTCCATTGCTAGAGGGCAGAAACACTTACCTGAGGGAGGGAATCCTTACCTGATTGGCGTGGTCACCGGGCAATCCTTCCTCCTCTATCAGTTCCCCAAACTGACAGGGCCAGGCCTGGAACCTCTGGCTCCCTTAACCCGTAGGCCATAGGCTTGCCCAGCAAAAAATAAATTTAAAATAAAATGTAAACATAGTAATATATGCCGGGAACCAGCAGTTACCATAATGGCTATGCCGCTGGACTCCCAAGTAGTCGACTGCGGTTCGCGTCCCGGACCCGGTGGCTTAGCACTCACACCGGGTGCGTGTGCGTGCCTGCCCAAGATCCCGAGAGGAGAATGGAGGAGAACGGATTGTGGTGTGACCATACCCCCTGGGGGGTGATTTCTCGCTTTCTGTCTCTATGTCTGTCTGGCAAGCGCACGCACCCTATAGCGAAAAACCTCCACTCCAAAAAAAAAAAAAAAACCATAGTAATATATGCTGAAATAATTAGGTATAATTATATAATTATTACTGTGATGATAAATAACTGAATAAACGTAAAGGAAATAGATAAGGAAATTGATAAGGAAATTACTAACTTTCTGGCAGAACCTGAGGGAAAAAAACTTCTAGAAAATGTATTTTAAAGGGATTTATTGTGAAAAGTTTAAAAAAATACAGAATGGAATGATTACCTGCTTTGTAACAGTCACCCAATTTCAAAAATGAATACTTTGTCATTTGTGTTTTATCTAATCCCTTTTTTCTAGAATATCCTTAAAAGGTCCCAGAGTGTCTTTTTTATGAGAGAG